CTACTTTGAGCCCCAGTTCTGTGTGGAAAGGACAGATATAAATAAACTGAATAATAATAATATGAATATTAATTAATTATACTACTACTGATAAGTGCTCAGGATCATTAGAAGTTATTATCTATCCTAGCATTCTGATGGAATAGCCCAGACTCTGTTGGATTCCTAGAGCAAAACCCACAGAAAATTCTAAGAAAAAAAATGGTGATGCAGTTTGACAGAAGGAGGAAAGTACAGACCTAGGAACTCCCTCTCCTTACAACACTATGGTCCCAGTCAGTACAGTCTGACCATGTGAGCTCCCATTCCTTAACTATAAGAACAAGACTGCACTAGATTTCCTCTAAAAACATTGTGGTACTGGCAGGATGCTAGGTTCAGCATGAACATGAGCATGCACTACATAACTCTGACAGCAATTGCTGACATTAGTTTTAATGGGGGAGAAAAACCTTTAAAATCTTTGAGACAATGTGCACAATGTAATCAAACTAATGAGAAGCATCCTTCCTTGAATAAAACACATAAGTTTTGTTTTCCAAATTTAACAACACATATATAACAAGAAAAGTAGTTTTTGAGAACTGCATCTACTTTAATATTTGCCGGAAACTATTCATATGGATATCGTCACTTCACTTCACTTTATTTCTTAATTAGTCGCTCTCCACCAAGGTGCTCCGAGCGACTTACAATTTAAAATAGCATTTACACAATATAAAAACATTCAACATAAAAACACAACAGTGACTATTTGGCAAATTAGATCTGATCACTTTACTTAAATGCACAAACAGCCAAGTCTTGAGCACCTTTACAAAAGGTCACAACTCCGACATTGCTCTAATGTATGGAGGCAATAAGTTCCACAGAATTGGAGCATAGGTCAAAAAAGCTCTATGCCTTGTTAGCTTCCAGGTGTACCTCCCTAGGGCCTGGTATGTATAGGAGATTTTCTTGGGTGGATCGAGGTAACCACTGATGGAAAAAAGGAATGAGGCGGTCCCTAAGAGATAAAGGTCCTTGGCCATTTTGAGCTCTAAATGTCAGGATCAGTATCTTGTAAGAGATCTGATGTTCTATTGGTAGCCAATGCAGTTGTTGCAGAATCGGTGTAATATGGGATCTTATAGATGATCCCGCTAGCAGCCTGGCCACTGCATTTTGGACCATCCGAATCTTCTGGGTTGTTGACTTCGAAAGGCCGGCATATAAGGCATTGCAATAGTCCAACCTAGTGGTGACTGTTGCGTGGATTACCGCTGCCAATGCTTCTACCGAAAGGTAGGATGCCAATTTCCTTGCCTGGCAAAGATGAAAAAAGGCCTGCTTACTTATGGCAGTGATCTGGGCCTCCATCGTCAGCTATGAGTCCAACACAACCCCAAGGCTTTTAAGAGTGGAAGACAGAACCAGAATTTCCCCATCGAAATCTGGCAGAGACTGGATTAATTCTGGCGGCTAGCCGGGCCAGAGTATCTCAGTTTTTGCAGGATTCACTTTTAGTCTGCTCGCTCGCATCACTGCTTCCAAACACAGCCTAAAGTTCTCAGGAATCGTGGTTGTCCCAGGTTCAAGACGCAAGAGTAGCTGGGTATCATCTGCATACTGGTAGCACTCTATGCCAAAGCTCCGCACCAGTCCAGCAAGTGGCCGGACGTAGATGTTAAATAACAGGGGTGAGAGGATAGCACCCTGGGGAACTCCACAGCAAAGGCAGGAGCTCTCAGAGCTTTGGCCTAGCCACTCCACCCTCTGTCTCCGGTCCCAGAGGAACAAACTGAACCATTTAAGGGCTAAACCCCGTACACCAGACATAGCCAATCGATGAATCAGCAAGTAATGGTCCACTGTGTCGAATGCAGCTGTGAGGTCCAAGAGTACCAATAGTGCTGATCCGCCTCGGTCTAATTGATGATGAAATTCATCTGTAATAGCTACCAAGACAGTCTCTGTCCCATGACCTGAACGAAAACCTGATTGAAAAGGGGTCCAAACCCGCAGTCTCATCTAAGAATTGCTGACAGCTAGTCCTCTCAAAAGGGCAATTTACACACAAGGCAATCTGGTTTATATTTTACTCCCCCAGTGAGCTTCATGAGACAAATTGTTTCCCATCTGCCTCCTATCAATTCCAAAGGGAGGGTGGCTTGTGGGAACAAATACATGGTGGGGAAGTGGATGCTTAAAAGGATCAGAGGTGGACAGGCTTAATTTGGTACACATTGTACAAAAATGGCATTTGTTATATTCACATTACTAGTAAACAATCAATACTATACCAGACAGAAAAGAAGTTAAAGTTGGAAACTAACAGGTGCAGTCTGAGGTTGGGCCAAGACGGCGTGGTTTCCAGCTGAAGCCAAAAGGGTGTCTGCTCTTACCTGGCCACCTGCAAAAATTATGGGTGCAGAGGCAGGTTTAGGGCGGTAGGGAATTGTGGCACCTTTTGGTGGAGACTGAGAATGAAAACAGAAAGCAATAAGGAAGAGGAAAAAATATATCACATAAGTCAAATATAGTGGGTTGAAATTATTGCTACAACATAGACAGCAACAGAAATATTACAATAAGGCATTCAAACCATGACTTATTGATTGATTCTTAATGCTTTATCCTGTCTTTGGAGTCAGACATGATGATACAACATGAACCTACGGAGAATGTTTATGAATGACAAAAGATCTGGGATGTAGTATCTGGCTGATCGGAGACCTAATTCATGTATTTGTACCACTATGAAATTCCAATGTCTCTCATTGTGATTGTGCTGCTTATTTCTCCCTCTGGTTGCATGTTTGTTGTCAGCATCCTACTGCTTCCTCCTGCCTTTGCATAAAACTGCGAGAAGAAGTTCTATGACTTCCCCTTTTCTACTGCAACTTTCATCACACAATCTGTTATTTTCTTTATTCCTTATCCCTCAGTGTATTTTGTCCCATCTTCCTACACTCAGTCATGGTTCTCCAACTTTCTTTCTTATCTTTTGTGTCTCTGAATTATACCTCTTCCAATTGCATTCCCCTACACAAACATCAGAAATCTGACACAGGGAGCTGATCCTGAAGAATTTGGTACTCAGCTCCATTTAGATTTTCCTCTTGGTTTAATCAGGATGCCTGGAGGAGGGCACAGGCAGCAGCAAGATTTTGTCACTTCTTTTATCTCCCTTAGTACTAGCAAAATGTAAAACCCCGGGAAAGAGCTGAAACTTTGTTTTTTCCAGACATTCCTCCCAGCAGGAAATGGGAGGTTGCTGCCATTGCTGAGTTCTCTGAAGAAAATTCCCATTTCTTGCAGCTCAGCAGAGTCACTGTTCCGTTCCAGGAGTTTCTTCAGTATATGTTCACTTCAGTACCTCTGGTGCCATTGCAGTGTAATAACCCATTTGCCACTGGGAGAGATGTTTAGAGATCAGACCAGTGACTCCCTCAAGGTAACTCAGCAAGCTTACTGTTCAGACCATTGCTTCTGACAAGATGCAGTAAATATTATAAACACTCAGAAGGTTTAGATATCTCACACACTGATAAACGGAATGTTCCGTCTTCCAGGAGCTTGGTTTGCATTGCTCCTTAGTTGCATGAAATAGCATCCTTTTGCATTTTCCCCAGGGTTGCTACAGTCTCAGCAGCACCCTGAAATTTAACCGTTAACAGGGGCTTAAAGCCTTTTGCTGTTATTGGCTTAAAAAAGTATCATTTTGGTCCAGAGAGCGCCCTTTTCCTGGGAATGAGCTCTCCATTTTGGAAAAGCTCTCCTGCCTTCTTCAGTT